CAGTCATGAAAGCTCTCTTAACAATATCGTGTTTTTCAGTTTTGGGTTGTGTGTATATAGAATAAAATTGTAGTCACCATCTATGCGGTGTTTTATAATCTTAAATGTAATAGTCGAACATAAACAGTTTCCCATTCCATTAAATCGTATCTTCTAAAATGAGAGAGAGAGAGAGAGAGAGAGAGAGAGAGAGAGAGATCCCCATGGACACGGAATGTGGGGTTGTCCTGTGGACTCGTGTGAGTGGAGGTGGGGAAGGGTTATCCAACGGGAGGAAGAAGAAGGAAATGGGTAGATACAATCTATAGGGGTGTACAGTGTTGCAAATACCAAAACCTGCAGTTGAAGAATTGAACACGTAGACTGTGACTTCTAATGAAGTTCGTACGGTAGCTGGCTTTTTTCATCTTTGAAGTTTCTACATCCAGCAGCTTTGATCTCAGCCTTAGGATTCAGTAATATGTTACAGCCAAGTGTTACAGGTACCTGAAGGTCTCTGGAAACAAGGAAACGAGGGGCGGCACTCAGAGAGGTGGAGGGATTCAGAGGAGTTCGTACTCCGAAGTCGGAGCCCTGAGCAGGAAAGGAAGCAACATTATAGAGATATACGGGGTAGGAGTGTGGGCCCGCCTCCCCGGAGGATACGCTCATCGAGGCGGTGGGTGGAGTTAGCAGAATATTCTTGAAACCTTAGGTAGAAACATTGGGCAGAACACGGAGTTGCATTGCTTAAATGAAACATTTTATGGCAAAAAAACAGGAGGGGGCAAAAGGCCGGCCCTGTTGTGCATCCTTTCCTTATCAATAACACGCTACATCCATTCTTCAAAGAATTTAATCAGTAAAATCATGGAATCTCAGTTTTCATCAGGACTACCAGACCCTGGTACCCTCCCAGTCTCCCAGTCTTACACTCTTGCCCGAGACTTTGTCTACCACCCTGACTACCATTTTCTGATCTGAGACTTTCAGCCTTTCCTCACATTCACCTGGCCTCTCAGCAACTCATGAGTTACTGGAATTGCTCGACACATGTTGGAACCATGCCTGTGAGTTTCCCAGCAAATTTAAAATTTCTAAAAGCAGCTGGGCCCATAAGGTTGCTACTTGCTGTCTGGTGGCAGACATCTTAACTCCTCCTGGGAGAATACAAGTTCATATTCATAACTCCTCTCATTCCACGACTATGTCATCATCTTCCCCAAAAGAGGAAACAATTGTGTGCTAACACGGGCTTTCCTGTCAACCTCAGAAAGGTTCTGTGCTTTTGTGCACCAATTACCATCGCTGTAGGATCCCTTCTGGCCTGTGTGTCTGTCTGTCTGATGTGAGTTCCTCCACCTGGAGCTACAATCATCTCTACCACTACGTCTTTTTCACCTGCTTTTTCTAAGTCTTCCTTATCTACTGGTATTTGTTCCTTTGGCTTGGCTGGCAACATAGAACAATCTCTTTCATCATTAAAAATAGTAATAATAACAGTGAAAACAACAAAACAAATACGAATAAGAAAACCCACCTGGGTATTTAAAAACAAACAAAAGTTTCAGAATGTTGAAAACAACTGACTTTAGAGAAAGAAAAAGGAGGAGGAAAAAGGCAATGTAAGGAATTCAGTCGGGGTGGGGAGGCAAAAAGGTGAGGCTATGGGAGATGCTAAGGTCTCTTCTAGGTTTCTCTAATTTGTGAATTGGCTTTTTTGTATATGTGCTGCCAAAGCAAGCACTGAGAATAGACTTTTTTACATGAGAAGATTATTTTTCAAAAACTGACTTTTTAGGGTCAGGTATTTAGCTCAGTGGTGCTGACGCCTGCCTCATAAGCACAAGGTCCCGAGTTTGATCCTTGGTACAAAACAACACACACACACACACACACACACACACACACACACATCAGATTTTTTAAAACTGTTGTCTTAACAATGTTCTAGGCCCCAAGGCCAAAACTGTTTTTTAAAAGTGAAGAAAATGCCACTTTCTTAAATCTTCAAAAAACCTAATTGACTTGAATAAATTATAGTCATATTCCTATTATCCATTGATTTAAAAACAGAGTGTTCCAGTTAACTAAATACGCTGGGTAATGAAGACGTGGCCTGTCTGTCGTACATGAATTACAAATTTCTAAACCATACCATTACAGATCGTATGGAACCTAATGTACTCTCTGTGAAGTTTAGGAGGAACTTGGGGCTATTCCAGGGCACCAAATAGATGAGGGAAAGAGGGAATAACTAAAAAACAGCTTGCCCTCGTTTCATGGCTCTTATGGTACTTAACACTAAAATGAATTTCATCAGATAGATCTCACCACTGCTTTCTGGATTAAAAAAAAGCAATTAAACACTTGCTCAGGACCTCACCTTGGCAGACCAGGACTTAAACTTGGGTTTTCATGCTTCTAGCATCTATCTATTTGTATGATCTCAGTACAACTTCATAGAAGTCAATGAAATTCCTACAAAACCAATTTTAATGATATATGCAAAACTGTAGAAAATCATGCTTCAGAATGATGGAAAGAAAAATAAGAGTTCTGGAGACTCAGACTTTCTGTGCTTTAAAATTGAATTGGCAATAATTAAACTGTGGAAGGATTTTGGTGATTATTGAAGTCATTCAAAGTCCCATTTTGTGGCACAATGGTGTTGTTACAGAAGCAATCTTCAAGAAGGTGAGGATGGCAGCATGCTAGATCTGAAAGGGACACTGAAAATCTTTATAGAATCATTCCTGTCTCATGAGATACTCCCAGATACGAATGAGCTCTGTAGTGTAGTAGGGCACACCTACCACTGAAAAGTAGGTATCACTGCTTCTAACCCGCATGAAAGATTGCCATGCAGCCAGAAAATAAATTTTTCTCTATACCATTTGTGAGATTTCCAGTGCTCATACGGAAAGCTAAGGCTGAACATCTAAACAGAATGAATGTTCTTAATAAGAACTTGGGACCTTACAGTCACTCTGAACTGACTTGAACAATCTTGGGTAACCCATAACACAAGTCTCAGTTTTTCATCTCTATCATGGGCATGACAGGACCTATTGAAGACAGTAGGTTTGAGGTCTCTTGTTCTACCTTCCTATTTATCTTTCTTTTTGCCCCCCTGCTCTCTGCATAAATCACATGAGCTTAGAAGAAATTTCCACCTTGTCATCAAGAGCAAGAAGCACCTGCACATAGTCCTGGAAGGTGGCTCACTGTGGCCTCCATGCCCAGCTCCATATCACTGCCTCATGGAAGTCTCTCCTCACCATTTCCCACCCCATCCCTTAATGAGTGCTTCTCTGCCTTATGGGGCTTCACTTCTTCAGAGTTGGCCCTCATCCTGTAGTATTGGATGCGTTTTCTGATTTTCCACGAGACTGAGCTTAACTCTTTCATCTTTGATCTGAGTCCCTGGGATCCAGCTAGCTCACCAGCTCCTGGTAGAGTCTCCAAAAGGTTTGTTGACTAGAAAAAAGAGAGCCCTAGACCTTGAGAATTAATACTACTTACAAAACTTACAAGTCATGTCATAATTACTGTGTTCACACTTATTTCCTAATCCCAAAGGAATAGTTCACTTTCCAAGCTTGTGTCCCCAAATGCTGGCATCAGAAAGCCCTATCAGGTAGAGGCTTGCATCCCCGAGTGTCAGCTGTGCCTAGACCAGCCACAGTTAGCCACAGACCAGCAGGCTCTGGAGAGATAGAGTGAGAAGCCAATTCTGCTGCCACTGGCAGACTTTTTCACCACTAGCATGGACCTTGTGCTCTCGGTGGTTCTTGGAGACACAGGAGAATCTTGCAGATGATTCTGCCTTTCTTCCCCAGAGTCTACCACTGAAATCTCAGCTCAGAGACTAAGAGCATCTCCTGTCCTATTCAGCTTCCTGATAGGTACATGAACTTATTGTGCTGAACTTACTTTCTCTATTAGGCTCTTATCATTGCCAATTTCAGAGAGCTTTGGCTACTTTAATATGAAAAAATGCTACTAAATTTTCTTAGCACCTGTAAAACTACAAAGTAGAGCCTATGCTGTCCCCAGATATATACCAAATAGTGGTTTGTTGTGAGGTAGGAAATGAGTTTGTGTCTTGAAGACTGGTCTTATGCTTAGGACACATCCCTTTTCACTTATATAACCACCACCATTTTACAAAGATGTCAATGAAGCTTGGTGTGGCGGTGCACACCAGCAATCCCAGCACTCAGGAAGCCCAAGGAAGGAGAATAACAAGTTGAAGCCCAGCCTGGGCATCTTTCCAGCTCAGCAAGACCCTGTGACCAAATAAAAAGAGCTAAGGATATAGCTCAGTGTGAACAACCTTGGTTCGACACTCGTTACAACAAGAAAATCTCAGTGGAACATAAAAATAAATGTGTCTTTCTCATTTTTCATGTTGGTGGACACAGGGTTGTTTGGCTGGGTTGTGCCCATTCCTCGACACAGACTGAAAAAACAACTTCCATTTGGGATTTTCTATCATGGGGACAGAGGACAACAGTGAGGGGATTGGTGGGGTGTTTGGCACCTTTTTAGAATTTCTCCTGGACTGTGGTATACCTCTCGCTTATATATATGTAGGACTGCGTAAAGCAAATCATATGCCAAGGCCAAAGTTTATGAAAGCTCAGTTTGGAATGTTCTTCCAAGGAAGGGGCAAGTGCCCTGGAGAAGAGCAACACATCCACCGTGGGCAGGCAGGAGCCCCCTTGTGTGCCGGGTGACAGCCAAGACCCACACTGTACCTGCAGGGCAGAGATTCCAGAGATACCACAAGTGGTTCTGCCATCTACCTCTTCGGTTGCATGCATCTTTTCTAAGGAGCTGGTGCATTCGATTGATGCTTCATAACTTGATTTCCACCCATTTGTATTTCTTTCTTGTCTCCAGCGGATGACGGGACGCAGACTCATCCTGACAACAGCAGCCAAGGAAACAGACTCAAGTCTCGCTGCCTGTCCTGCACAGCTGTGCTTCTGAAGGCTGTCTGGGGACTCTTGATCATCTTGTCAGTGTCATCATCGTGGGTTGGAACCACACAGATTGTAAAAATCACTTATAAGAACTTCTACTGTCCATTTTTCATGACATGGTTTTCAACAAACTGGAACATTATGTTTTTTCCAGTCTATTATTCTGGGCATCTGGCCACTGCTCAAGAAAAGCAATCTCCAATGAAAAAATTCAGGTAGGTAAAACGTTAAATGGTAGATAGGAGATGTTTGAAGTTTGTATGAAGATATGCACACTCTCACCTCTTTGGAATAGGAGATGAGCTCCCCGTGGGAGGATGGGAAAGCAGGATCCAAGATCGGTAAATGAACACACAGAAGCAGAACCAGTCGTCACTTTTGTAAACACGTGTCTGCAGCACACCGGGCACTGTGCTGTTGCTTTTGTATCTCTCATCTGATTTCACCAGCATTGGTGGCAACAACCTTCACCTTTAACACGATGCTATTATCCCCATTTTAACATAGCAGCAAACAGATTCCGAGAGGTACAATGACTTAGCCAAGTTCAAACAGCTATCAATAGTGGAATGCTGGGGCCAGGGATTTAGCTCAGTGGTTCCGGCGCCTGTCTTGCAAGTGCAAGGACCCAAGTTCGATCCCCAGGACCAAAAAATAAATAAGTAAATAGTGTAAATAAGTAAATAAATAATTTAAATCTGTATCTTTTTTTTCTCTGAAATTCATATTTTAAAAGAATATCCCCGGGTCCCAAATCCAGAAAAAGAAATATATACTCACAAGAATAATTGTTAGGTGAACATTTGCTCACTAGGCCCAGCATTACAGCACCTGAGCAGGTGAAAGGCCTGATCTCGGTGGCTCTGGGAATCTGTAACAGACGCTGTTTTCTGCCGGCCGTCTGGGAGCACTCCGGGCCGAGTCTGTGCCAGTGGCACACAGTGACGGCGGGGTGTGCTGGGAGTCTTCTACTTCTAGCAGTTGCTCTGTGCTAAGCAGGGCTCCAGCAGCCCCCACCTCAGGAGTTGGCAGGACCAACATCCTGCAGCCTGCAGCAAAGGCAAGGAGGGCAAAAGAAGCAGCCTTTGGGGCAAAGTTGTTTTGTTAGGGACAGCTTGCCCGGAACAAACAGCCCAAAGATGGGGAGTAACTTGGGAGAACAGTCACTCGGGCTGCCGTCATCACAGAGAAAACAGGGACCTCGACGACAGCAGATGGCAGAAACAGTTTATTGCTCCGTAGCAGAATGACAACACATTTGTCGGGCAGAAGCCAAAATACCCTTTCTTTGTCATCTATACTCCTAATTCACCTGAGGTGACCAACATAAGGAATGACTATTGTAATTGGCGCATTATAAAGATTATTCCTAAAGACTTAGACTGTGATGGTCTACCTTCAACTTGCATTTGCCATCACTAACTTGGAAGTACCTGGGAGTTTTAAAGTCATGCTATGAACTGATTTTCTATGGTGTCCATGAAAACTGAATTATAGTTAAAGAAACCTTAAAAAGAATAAATGTCTAGTTTGGGAGAAAGAAGAAAGCCCTGTATATGTTTGCAACCTCTAAAAGTATTTTGTATTCCATTCCCAGCAAATAGAAATGGTCCTGGTGCGGATGTGTTTTTAATGACTGCGTTTAATAAGTAAGAACAGGAGAATGTGATTACCAGACCACAATTGTCCCTGTTTGAACATGGCTGTCTGTACCAGACAGGATGTGTGCTTTACCCAAAGGGTTCTCTGGTTTTGACATTCACAGGGATAAAAACAGCAAAAGATGTGCTGAAGGAGTAGAACCTCAGGAGCATCTAGAGCAAGCCACACTGTTACATTTACAAGAGGCTGCCGCTCACGCAAGGGTTGTTTCAGGGAATAAACTTCATCTTCTCTCCATCTCTCATGCTGAACTAATTCTGAACTTTGCAAATTCTGTGCTTTGACAAGACATCTCCACCGGTTAGTGAGGGTAGAGTGAAAATGGCCATTTCTGAAATCAAATCAAAGAGCTTCTATAGTCAGGCAGAGAACATTGTCTTCCGAAGAATTGCTCTCTGGTGAGAGCAAAACGAGAAGCAAACATTGTCAGAAATTCTTAGGTCCTTGATCTTTTTCCCCAGTTGACTCATTAACACCATCTACCAAAGCTCCCAAAGCTCTCGTGGTGAAATGAGGAGAAAGTAGAGTTAGTATATAAGGCTGGAGACAGAATCTGTTCCCTGGCACAAGAACTTCTGACTATTTTTCTCCTGAACAGTATGAAAGAACTTATGGGGTTTTTTTTCTTATCTCTGACATTAAAAGAATTTTCAATATAGTGTCAAATCGAGATAGTAAGCGTTGTCAGTGTGGAAGTACTTTCGATGATTCAATTATCTGAATCACATGCTAACTGAATTTAAGTGCCTTGGGTGAATCTGAAATTTAGAAAGTAAAGATTATACATTACTTTTTAATATGGGTACTTTCTGAGGGACAAAATCTTCAGGAAGAATAAATTAGAGCCAGAAATACACTCCTCTCTGTCAGGCCTTTGTAAAATGTGCTTGGGTACCATGTGATGCAGAGGAAGAGTTCAGTAACCAACACCTGCTGCTGTAATGACGAGCGTGATTAAGTTACTAGTGCTGCCCCAGCCTCCGCCCTTCATTCCAAGGGTTGCCACCTGCCAGTACCTCTGAAACTTCTGCTCTTATCCCGGTGAGAGACCTACTGTGAAGTCCTTCCCATAAATGTCTATCTTTTAGGGCCAGGGATTTAGCTCAGTGGTACCATGCCTGACGCAAGCATCAGGTCCTGAGTTTAATCCTCAGTACTGGGAGGAAAAAAATCTCTCTTTTAGCCTTCACAGTTCTTAACCCTTACTGCTTACATAACACAAGGTTTTACATAAGCGACTTAGCATTTGGATAGATCATTTTTAATTCCTGCAACAGTAGTGACAAACAAGGAGGATGCTGGCGATGGCGGAGGTGAGCAAAGAGAGCAGGATGAAGAGGAAACACACAGCTGAGGGCCAGGCCTTGCTGGGTGCAGCATTCACAACATCTGGCATGGGCTTCTCCCTGGCTTCCCAAGGTCTTACTGCGGGACTGGAGCATTCCCTCACCTCCATCCCACCACTTTGCGTGACAGCATTCAACTCAGCATGGTGGTGGGCTCTCAATAGAAAGAACAGTTACTGGGTAGGGCGAGTGAGAAGAAAAAGAAATCCTTTCATCAGAAAGGGGCTGTGTCGTGGTTACTGGTAAAAGTGTGCTGACCAAGGCATTCTGTGATTATGATTGACAGAATACACGCACAGCTCTGAGCTCCACTCTATGCCATAGCTTTCCTGTGAAACATGTTCCTCTGTGAGCACAGAACATGAGTCTTATGCCCAGGCTGGTGCAGGAACACTGCTGTTTATCCTATGTGTGATGCTGCCTCAGAATTCCGGGCGGCTCTTGGGCTTCAGAGCGGCCATTCATGTCCCTGACATGAGACCACATTTTTGTTGACTTTAAAGAAAGCTTTGCCTTTAAGTTATTTAATCCCTTTGCAGAAGTTGTGTCTCTGTCAAGTTAAAATTAACCTTTGAGAAATTTCATTTTCATGTTACGATAATCCCTCCCGCCCTCTATATCATGTGAAATAGGCAAAACCACAATACAAGGCTCTGTGTGTGTAATGTACTCTTTTAGCCTTCTTGGTATCACTGACACACAACTCCCAGCATCCTCAGCAGCTGAAACCAGCCTGTACTGAGACCTGCTATTGAAAGCTCTGCTCCCTGTGCTGAGGACCTTTACAACTCCCTCGCTTATGTGGTCATCCCGTGGACGAGGCTACTTTATCTACACAGGGCAAACACTGGGCAGACAATGCTTTGGTTTGCAGTCCTTTGAGACACGATGGTATTGTTTTAGAAAAATTTGGAAGAGAAGCTGGCATGGCCAACTCTCCTGTAATCCCAAAACTCTGAGAGATGAGACAAGACGATCCCAAGGAGCTCACACTGGGCAATTTAGTAACATAGGAAGACCCTGTCTCCCCGCAAAAAAAAACTTGGGGGAAGTGTCTGGGGAAGTAGCTCAGTGCAAAGGCCCTGGGTTCAATCCCCGGATGTCCCCCAAACATGTGCACACACAAAAGCTGGAAAGCCAGAAGACAATCGAGTAGCAGTACTATCTAGAGACATGTAAATGCTTTCTGCTATAAACATGTTTCCGTGTTAATAAGTTGTTTCTTTGAACATGAGATTTACCCAACTCTTGAAAATATAATGCCTGACATGTTATATTTGCTTAAATGTTCATGAATAACCAAGAAAAAAACCAACCTAGATGTTCTCACTGGCAAGTCTGTTTCAATCAACAATAGCATAGACACTGTAATTTTGTCGCTTTCAATACGAACTTTGGGTACTGATGAATTGTACATTTTGATTTAAATTAGCTCTTGAACTAGTCAATTTAATCAGATATCAAACTAATTATGATTTAACCAAAGTGATTATTTTCACACAATTAATTCAGATGAGTTATCCAAAATGGCTGATGCTTGTATATAAGTACAACTTGAGCTTTATCATACTTAGTTTTGACCAGTTTTAGTCATCACAGAGACTTTCATCATTTTTATATCTTAAAAATACTGGCAGGAAAAGAAATTAGTCAATTAAACAGATATATTAGGAAGAAGCACAGTGTCTGAGGAATAACAAAACCCCAAGATGTGCATGGCTTCACCACAGATGAGGGTCCCCATTCCACAGGATTCTGGGAGTGGTCCACAGCCTGGTCACGTGATAGCAGCCATCTTGGTCCTGTCATAGTCACCTGTTGGGGAAAAAACTTCAACCTCTTGCAGTTGCTAGTAATTTCAGCAAGTACTCTCTCCTGTACTTCCCTAGGCTTCCTCAGGGATGTGCAGAACATCAGAATGGCTGCCTGGACTTCTCAAGAGAGTATCTGAGTAGGAGAGCACCTTGCTCTGTGACAGTGAGGCCTGGGTACTCCTTGAAGCCTGTATAGGATTCACCGTGTTCCACTGTGATGGCCTTGAGTGTTTTGTGCTCTGCCTGGAAATAGCTGTGAAAAGTCAGCCAGACAAGATGTTGACCATTAGCTACCTGCACATTAACTTCTTTGTCTTTCCTAGGGAATGCAGTCGGATTTTTGGTGAAGATGGTCTGACATTGAAGCTCTTTCTTAAAAGAACTGCTCCCTTT